TTGCAGTGATTGCCTATGCTCGTCAATGTATGGCATCACATCCTCTGCTTGCTGGAGAATAGCAAACTATACCTATCTAAAAGAAATGGGGTCGTCTACTGTGATATATCTCTCCTCGATCGTTCCTTTGCCACCTAGGCTTCCCTCATGACGAGATTATGGAACTCTAACCCTATTGATGTCCAGATAATATGTGCAGAACTCAATGGCCTCCTCCATTGATCATCCTTCAACCATGCCCCTGTCTGGCCTGAATCTGTTCATAACATACCTTCTAAAAACTTTCATCAACCTTTCGAAAGGGAACATCTGATGCAGGTACATTGGGTCAAGGGCTCTAATTTGGTCAACAAGATAAACGAGCAGATGCACTGAGATATCAAAGTAAGTCGGTGGGAAATGCATCTCAAACCTAACGAGAGTTTTGGCTATGTCTCACTGCAGCTGGTCCAACATGGACATATTAATGACCTTTTTTGAGATCGCATTGAAGAACGAGCACAACTTTATGATTGGGGCACTGACCTTTGGGAGAGGATACCACGCAGGGCAATAAGGAGTAGTTGAGTAATAATGACATGACAGTCATGGGCCTTTATACAGCCATAGTTGAACTAGAGTTCTCTCATATTCACTAGCCTCTTCGGGTTCACACAGTAGCCTGTTGGGACTTTGAGTTCATTGAAGAAAGAAAAAAGCACACGCTTTTCTTCCTTCTTCAAGGTCTACGACGCAACTGGAAGTTTGAACTGGCCATCCTCTAGCGCCACGAGATGCAGCTCCTTTCTGATTCCCAAGTGTTGTATGTCCACGCGTGTGGCTAGTGAATCCTTTGATGTCTCCCCGGTGTCCATCAAGGTGTTAAGCGTGTTACCGCACATGTTTTTAGTAATGTGCATGGGATCAAGATAGTGGCGTACACTCAGCACTGGCCAGTAAGGTAGTTTCTAGAAAACCGATTTTTTCTTCCAAAGGCTTCCATCAGGCGCTGCTACTGCATTATGCCCCTTCCCAAGGACAACCTCTAGTTTGTTGACTTCTCGAAGTATCGCATGCCCATCTCGATATTTTGGAGGTAAGCGTTTCTTAATAGTCCCATCAAAATCTTTTATGTTCCTGCGGTAAGGGTGATCCTTAGGTAGGAACCTATGGTGTCCTATATAAACTATCTTTGAGTTCTTTGGCAGATGTACCGTATCGGTGTCGTCTAAGCACTTGACACATCCAATATAGCCTTTTGTCTTCTCTCCGGACAAGCAACCTTGACCTGACAGGTCGGTGATTATAGCGTAGGTACTGCCTTGATCGTGACATATTCCTTTTTGTACTCGTCCCAAACATCCTCCACACCCTTTTCAAACATCCCCACTAGTTCATCGATCATTGGTTCTAGAAACACATCGATATCATTCCTAGGTTGTCTTGGTCCTTGGATCAGTAGTGGCATCTGGATGTACGACCGCTTCATACAGAGCCAAGGTGGAAGGTTGTATATAGAGCGTCACTAGCTAAGTGCTTTGATTGCTTCTAACCTGGTCGAAAGGATTCATCCCATCTGTACTCAAACCAAACCAAAGGTGCCTTACCTCTCCACATATGTTCTTATAGAACACAGTATTGACTGTCCTCCAGTCCTTTCCATCGGTGGGTGTCTCATCATTGTATCTTTTTTATGCTCTTCTCCATGTCAGCGCAACAGCTTGGCTAACTTTGCACATACAAACAACCTATGCACCCGAGGAGCTATAGAAAAATACCAAACAACTTTCATGGGACATCCTCTAGTCTTGGTACCCTCATCTGATGGCCGTTCCTTGTACCATGGAGCTTCACACTTGGGGCACGCATCCAAGTCTTTATATTCGTCTCCATGGTACAATATGCAATCATTGGAACACTCGTGGATTTTTTCAACCTTGAGACCGATGGGGCAAATCATTTGTTTGCACAGGTATGTCTTTTCTGGCAACTCATTTTTTTTAGGAGCATTTTTCTTATTATACTTAACAACTGATCGAAGTATTTATCGCTCAATCTGTTTGTCGATTTGAACTCTACCAGCATGATGTCGGCTTCCAATTTGCTCATTGGTTAATTCTTATACAATGGTGTTTTACCATCTTGTCTTATTTTCTCTAGCTTTCTCAGTTGTCTTTTACTAAGACATCCGGTCTCTACATTATATAGCAACTAAGAAATGCCATCGTTATCCTCGGTGTTGTTAGCTATCGTGTTCCTAAACACGTCGTTAACTGTGGCTATAAGTTCTGTGTTGATACTGGGTTCCTCGTCAGCATCGTGGATGGCTACGTTAGGCATGGCCACATCAGGCATGGCCACATCATCATTGTTTTTCTACGGTACATTCACACCAACCTCACCATACATAGTCCATATCATATAGTTTGGCATGAACCCCTGGTAATCAAGTGCATTCGTATATACTCAATTTGAGCCCATTTCCTTTGATTCATGCAATCTTTCCATGGACAGAAGACATGGTTTCCATTCCTAGCATGGGCTTTGGCATTGGTGATAAACTGACTGACGCCATGCATGTACCGCTTGTCCGTTCGGGATAGATGCATCAACTCTCGATCCATCTCTACACAAAAAAATATTGAGACAGTAATTACAGAGAAATTAATAAGAAGTCGAGCTTCATGAACAACAATTGTAGCTCGAAAGTACCATTTATTCTACACTTATTTAATTTAGTCACCCCATTTTTGAAAAATATTATTGCACACTAATTATTGAAAAATTAAAATTGGTAGCCCCGACCATATAAATTGAAAATCATAGCTCCATAAAAAATAATTATTGCAGGATAATGAAGAACAATTATTCTACTCGATGCCACATAAAAATGGAGACACTAAGTTTTTTTTAAAAAAACTAAAATTTGAGACATGACCATGAACAACAATTTAACTCCAAACAATGTGTTGGTAGGTGACACATGGATTAATTTGCTCACCAAAATTGTAAAAGAATCTACTCTACTCTTATTAAGAACTAATTATAGCATCACATACTAACGATGATCTTGACCACCATGTAATTAGCTAGGGTTTTAAATTTGTTCAAAGACACCAACCTTTTGGATGATGGATTCACCACAATTTGCTTGCAAGCCTTGCACAAAGTTCAATTGAAAAAGTGCTCTCTAGAATGGAGAAAGAACTAGAATGAGAATCAAGCAATGTAGCCATTAAAACAATGCTAAATAACCAACAAAATCAAAGGAGTGGATGCTTGTTACTAGCCTTAAAGCAAAAAGATCAAGCCATTCTTCCAAATCCAAGAGCTAGCTTCACGGTGAAGAGCAGCCACACCAATGGAGGGAGTGGCCCAAACACGTGACTCTGTGCTCGGGATGGAAGAGAGGGGGAAGGAGAGGACGGCGCCAACTTTTTGTACTGCTATTTTATCACCGTCGGTTCTTGGCTTGAACCGACAGTGATAGCACCAAATCACTGTCGGCTCTTGGTTAGAACCGGCAGTGATAAGTGGCCGCCAACTCACTGTCGATGCAAGCCACAAACCGACAGTGATGTGGTCCTTCGCTGTTAGTTTTAGTCTAGCCCCAATCATTTTCCCATTTTCAAGATCGAAACCGACAGTGAAGCACTATGCCAGAAAACCTTATCAGTGACGCGTGTAGAGGGTCATCAGTGACGCGTAAAACACGCGTCACTATTCTTGCGTCTGTGATAAGGGCACATTAGTGACGCGTAAAAACGCGTCACTGATAGGAAACTATCCGTGACGCATATTTAGAACACGAGTCACTGATAACGCGAACATGCGCCACCGATAATCGTAAGACACGTCCACGATAAGGAAATAGAGTGACGCTTATTCGTAATACGCGTCATCGAAAATGGGAACACGCGTCAGCCGATAAATCCATATCAGCGACACGCCAGGGGGAACCCGCGTCACTAATAAGTCTATATCAGCGACACGTTGTGGTAACACACGTCACGAATAAGGATATATGAGTGACACATACTAAGAATATGCGTCACTGATTTGTGTCACTGATAATTTGATATCAGTGACTCATGTCTGTCTAATGTGTCACTGATAGCATATAACAAATGTACACATTGCTGATCAGAACCCCACATCGTTCACAGAAGAAATATATATATATATATATATATATATATATATATATATATATATATATATATATATATATATATATAAGTCATCAATATGTAACATGTTCACACGAGATAGACATCAAGTTCAATAGATTCACATTTATATCAAATGTTCATAACTTGTTCAAAATCCATCACAACTTGTTCGAAATCCATCTAAACATTGGGCTTAATTTATTTAGTCACACACTACATCACTGGACTCACACTGATAATGGCAAACACACATCACTGGTCATGATGGGACTCTCCTTTCTTCTCGATGACTTGTTCCACTAAGAACCTGGCTAGCTTTTCTCTAATCATGAGCATATTGATGGGCGTCATCAACACTTCAAATTCCTGTGTCAAGATAGAACTTTGGTAAAAAAGAAAACATGGTACAGTACAATGTACATCACAATATAGACAATCAATGTAAAAAATCACAGTTGCTAAGCTTGATGCAAACAATCAAGGGACATAGGAACATCCGCAGATGTGGAAATTCATTAGCAAGCAGATGGTGCTGTGCCTATGTCTATCACTGAGTAAAATATATAGGCAGCGTAAAGCATCGAGCATTCGAGCTTATGACTAAAGTAGTACTGTGCATGTTTCCACTGAAAAGAAACTGCAGAGTTTTCTTCTACATCAAGGGAATAGCCTACAAATGTAGTGAAATCGCATTAAGGTTTGAAATACAACTGTTACTTGAGACTTTTTTCTGGACACGCAGGACTGTTTCCTTAAGACTGATTTGAAGACAGAATGCTGAGGCCACACAAACTTTTTCATCAAGACTATGAGCAATCGGCTAGTGCCACTATTACCGAATAATGATACTCAAATTGAAACACAAACTGGCCACTGCGACAATGGCCACACTATATCCGAGTGCTAGGAAACAAATAAACAATCAGAGAAAATAATCTGTTAGCTAGCTGCATGCTCCTAATCCAATCACTAAACTACCTGGAGCATAAGGAGGTTCAGCTGCAAAAGCACATAGCTGGCACCTGCTCCTCCAACCTCATCAGATCACTCCCCAAAACGAAAAGACAGGTAGCAATACAAATAAAGCCTCCACCTTTTCTCTTCTCTTGAGATAGAAAAAGACAGGTAGCAGAACAAGTACCATGGACTAAAAACTATACTAGGACATGACACGGTCACACACACTCAAACAACCATGGGCCATTATATTTGCACATCCAAAGTTTAGATATGAATACCTCAGAGTATTCCAAGTTTGTCTTTCTCATAGCTAAAAACAAGTGGTGTGCAGCATACCAGCCAGATGACTTAGCAGAAGATTGTTGAAGGCACTGCGACAAATATATATAGAACACAATAATTTGAAAATGGAAGTTGAACACAGTACTTAATATACTAGAGGCACAATATTGACTTTTATTTTTGGAAGCACTTACCGCATATTTAAAAGCGTGTTTCAATGGCTGTGGTCTGTCTTTCAGCTTGTTTGTGTGTCTTGCAAAAGCCCTACATGTAAGAGTACAACACACACATATATATGGCTCATTATGTTGGTTCAATGATATTGGCACTTATGAAACAAGTCAATAGTAGGTAAGCAAACAACTCACTCGTCAATCAACAGTTTTAGCACGCTGAAATCATGGTTTTCAGATCTGTTGGAATCAAGGTATATGACCTTATTCCACTTTTGAATTATTACCACGACGAACCAATGATCACCAGCTAAGCCGCCAGAGTTGTAGGCAAACATTATGTAGTCATTCTTGGTATACTTGGTGAAGGCCTTTTGTACATACTGCAGAACTTTGTCTCTATCAAATGTTATGCTGTCCAGTGACATCACTTGTGGATCTAGAAAGCCCACATGAATGTCCTTAGCCTTAGCTTCCACAACCAGTGATCTAAAAATAAGAAAGAACATGTAGACAACATGAGTACATAAACCAAAAGGGATATGCCTAGAGAAAATGAGTACAGAACAGCCGATGAACTGCAAGCATATGTATCTGGGTCAGCTACTTCAACCAGCTTAATTGCATTTTATCTGGGTCAGCTAGAATACACATGATGCAGAGCATGAAAATTGAAGTTTAACGTCTGTACTCTGTACCTCAACTCATGCAAGGTAAACCAAGCACAAAATTGATGTTTATGTTCAGTTTTATTCTAGAAGCACTCTAAACATGTTCAAAAGTTGACATGTTCAAAAGCTGACATGTTCAAAAGCGGTTCTGCAAAAATAGCAACTGGCAATAAACAAAGGCACAATAGCAGCTATCAGAACAGAACTGTATAAACAAGACCTAGTAGGTTCTGCAAAGGACCAAAGTAATAGTATCAGTAACCAGATAAAAGCTGCCGGCCAACACAGTTATTTTGTTTGCCAGAACAGTTAAACCCACCTACAAACAATCTACTTTAACTCCGCCACTACCAATTGTCCCCGAACTACTATGTGTTAAAGGTAATTGGTTTGTCTACGCTGAAGCCAACCAGTTTAGCTGTTAACTGGAGATTAATAGTGTGGAACAAAATTCGGCAAAAAACTGATGTCAGGTGGTCACTCAGACAATAATCAAAATACAGTCAGTGAACCAAACCAAATTCAACATGAAGTTAACAGAGCAACGCAAAGGTTGAGTTGAAAGAGCATATCTTTTATTCATGTTTATCAGTTATGTAGGATCTCTGGTCATACAACACATGGAAAAACTTGAAACTTTTGGCATGCTCATACTCAACCTTAGAAATACTACAATGGGTGAGAAAAAAACCTATCATGCCCAAGCCCAATCTATGCCTGGATGGCGTGCAGCGTGCAGCAGCAGCAGGGGAGATATACCACCGGAACAGAAAAACTGACATGTTCAAAAGCTACAGCTCAAATACTATGCCCTTACATATGTACCAAAAAAGCCCTGAAACTAAATTTCACATCCTCTCTTTTCTCACTTATTCGGTTATTTCTTTTGAGAATATGGAGTACCTCTTTAGACAAAATATGATCCAAACACGGTGGAATCAAATTCCACCAATCTGAGCTCTTGTGCAGCCTAGTAATTTCTTGAGAGAAATTCATGGATAAAGTTAGGGGCACATAACTAATAGAAAATGTTCTGCTCATAGTACATTATATATATATACCTTCTATCTTTGCCTGATTATTATAAATTTTAGTTACCAAATACTCTATATGGAGATGGCTAGATACAAATGTAGGGATGATATTGATAGTTTTCATAATGACATAGGTGGATGATTTATTTATTAGATGGTTACTTTAAATGTAAGGAGAACTACTATCAGCTATGACCTTATTTCTATTCTTCTACCATGGGGTAACAAAAGTAAAGAACACAGATTTGTTTGGAGGTACTTACAATATCCAGCATTGAAGAAGAGAGGCATCCAATGCTCCAAATTGGAAGAGGTCATACAGAAAATTGTATCTCACAAGCCCGACTTCGAAATTTGATGAGTTCAGCATATAAATACCCCTGAACCTAACCACTATCCCATGCTTATTGTTGACGCAATCTTTCATGTAATGAGCATGAAGAGCAGTACATCCAGGTCCTACCGCCTTGAGGTCCATTGCTGGGAGAAATGGGTGGCCACATTTGTACTTATCAATCCATTTTTGCTGCTGCGGTTGTTTTAGACTCTGTCCAACAGCCTTACTAGCCAACTTTTTATTTATGGCTGCCTTTTCACTCTCTCCAGCAGCCTTACTAGCCCCTTTGGGTTGCTTGGGTGGCCTTGCACCGCTTCCAACAGCCTCAGTTCCCACTTTTGGCTGCGTGGGCAGCTTAGTGCACTCCTTCTCTGAGTTGTTTGGATTTTTTGAAGGGTTGGCTGTATTATGCTCCTTTGGCACACTCTTTGTTGCAATAGTGGGGCTTCAACTGACACTATTTTTTGTGTGTGTAAAGCTTCAATTGACACTAGAGATAAGCAATAGTACCTGTACCTGACACTAGAGATTATTCTGCATCCGAGCAATAGTGTGTACACTACAGATTGCTGTCAATTGACAGTTACAGACTCTCTGAACGCTTCCACATGACAGCACCGGATCCATTTCTCGCACAATCAAGAACATAGCCGAAGGGAAAAAGGGAAAAGAAGTGAGCGATGCTGTACCTCTGCTCGAGGTGGGCGATGGACACGAGCGAATCTCGCCCTTGCTGACACGAAGACGGCCGTGCTCTGGTCCGATGATGCTGCGCCCTGGAGGCCGCCGACGACACGTGACCGCCGGGGCCTGGGCTCGAGTGATGGGGCGGCGCAGAGGTGGGGGGCTCTGGCCGGAGCTGGAGGAGCCGAGGTGGGCGCGCGGCGACTGCCGGAGCTCTGGACGCGCCGGGATTGGGAGTCCACCGGGGTGGGGTGGGGACTGCCTCTGGCCGGAGCTGTAGGTGCCGTGGTGTGGGGACTCCACAGGGCACCGGCCGGAGCTGCAGGTCGACGGCGGCGGTCGGCGGTCGGAGCTCCACGCGTTTTTTATTTCGACCGGGACATTTTTTTAGGGGACAAAGCTAATAAACATGAGTTAAGATCGGTGCTGTAGATGTGTCCCCGGCCACAACTCAGTGACGCGTCTTTAGAACACGCGTCACATTTATTATCTGTGACTCGTGTTATCGAGAAGTGTCACGGATATGCTTTCCTATTGGTGACGCGTCCAGCAAAAACGCGTCACATGCCTTATCTGTGACGCGTTTTGTTAACCAGCGTCACCAATACTACAATCTATCTGTGACGCGCCTTGACAATACGTGTCACATTTTTATCCGTGACGCGTCTTGTTAACGCGCGTCACGAATACATCGTTATTAGTGACGCGTCTTGCTCCTGGGGCATGGGCAACAACTAATCGGTGACACGTCTCGTGAACCCGCGTCATGGATAGATTATTGGTGACGCGTTTCGTTTTTGTGTCACGAATCGTCGTGTCACTGATAACGTTTTCTGGCATAGTGAAGGTACATCACTGCTGGTTGTCACAAATCGGACAGTGATGAGACCGAGTGATGTCTAAATGTGCAGTAGTGTTCGGGCGCTAGCGCTTCCATCAAACTAGCTAATTTCGGTCTCATGCATTTTGGTTCATTGAACATAGACACGCATGGTCAAATCATGCATACTGGGACCTCCGTCGTCGCAGGTAGCTAGCTAGACCATCGGAGACAAGCGAGCTTTAATTTCCATTGTGAGAAACAAACACGTCATAGCATGCAGTACACTTGGTCGATCGTCGCTTCCCATACTCATCTGATCATATGGCACGGTAGTTAACTCTTGCTCTCTCCCAGTTTAAGTTCGTTGAACGTAGACACGTCCTTTCGCTTGTAACTTGCAATACCGGACGATCGTGTATCGCCAACAAAAAGCCCGTCAGATGCACCTTAGTGATCCATGTATGTTTTAGCTGCCTACTGTCCACATGCATTGAGATATATCATATCATTAAGCCATAGCTCGCAGGCGAACAAGGGTGGTGGTCCATTTTACATGTAAAACCAAATTATAGTGTGGTTCATATGTAATTTTCATGATTTTAGAGAGTTCATCTACTATAATTTAACCTTGAACTAAATTTTATGGTGGTCCATGGACCACATGTTCCACCTTGCTAGCTCCGCCTATGGCTCGCAGAGTTGGGCTACTTGTCATGAACCGATCAAAATCACAGGGATGACCAGACAGTAGTCATCCGCCCCTAACAATACGATTTTTTCCACTAAAGTAAGGTTGTTTTATGTCAACCGCTCCTAAAAATATGTAGATTTTAAGGTGTGGTTTTATTAAGCAGGTTCATAAACTACAGTCTACAGTGCATCACAACATTCATGGCCTCATTTGGCATGGCTCAACTTCACTAGTGAAGTCGTTTTTTTGGCTTCAGCTCCATGAACAACTCAATCAGAGGAGCTAGAGCCGGTTTGATAAATTATTTGGCAAAACAGCTCCACATATAGAGTTTCTTAAAACATGCTCTCACAGAACGCCATGCAGGATGAGGTGAAACCGGGTGAAGCCACTATTTTAGGAGAAGCCGTTTTATTTTACCCATTTTGGCACAGAACGGCTCCAAATGGTTCCTGAAGCCGGTGGTGAAGAAGCCCTGACAAACGGGGCCATAGAGGCATCCATGAAAAAGAGAGACCTTTGAAATCATCTGTGCACTAGTGTGGTATATTCAATAAAACACAATAATAACACATATATGTTTGCACTATAACTAAGCTTTATACTCCATTCCGATACCGGCTAGAATCGTCGGTATATGTTGTACCAATGGGTAAACTGATATAGAAATGACTCTTTATCTGGTACTAGTCTCAATATGGTCGATACCAGCCGTTCTGGCCAATTCTGGTCATTCCGACCATTATATTTTGGTCCTAACGGTACTGGCTAAAAGACTCAAGTAACCCCTCATTTGATATGTAATTTTATAAACTTGTTGAGCCATGTGCTATCTTCATCTAACTTTATTTATTTATTTCTAAAAATGATAATGGCCAAGGTTATATATAAATATATCACATATGATTATTTACATGTAGATATATTTATATATCTCTATTTATTAAAGTTTGGAACAGCATAAAGTACACCACCGGTGAAATATTACCCCGTTCCAAAAGAAAAATCAGAATGACCTCTTAGAATGGTATTTAGGTCGGTCTCAGTGGTACGATTACCAAGATTATCATGTTAGTTTTTGTGTTGGTAAATGTGACAACGGGTTCTGGATGAAACTCTATGAAACTCTCCCTATCTCTCTCTCATAATTAACCCGCTAAGTCATCAAATCTGTTGATGTGTCATAATATTAAATACAAATGAAACTCAGATAAAATCACCACTGAGAATGACCTTATTACAAGCATGCTTGGTTGCAGTTAATTTGTAATTCTACTTGTACTACTCTAGCTCTGAATATGAGCGAAACTTCCTTTACGTATCTTGGGAAAATTAATGGAAATAGGGATACACCCTCAACAAGGGAAAAAGATCTGAGAAAGCAAACAAACATCATGCATGTGCATGGGATAAGATAAGAAGAGGACCCGCACGAGGGCTAGAGCATTATTGGCGACGTGCATAATGGAGGGAGATATATAGGGGTTTAGTTGTGCAAATGAATATTTCGCCATATATATCGAAATGGTTTCAAAATAAATAAATCAACATATGAGTATTGTGATTACGTATTGAACGATATATTTCATGCATATGGATCCTTATCCACTTATCTAAATCTCGATCGGTGACGACACACTTGCATGGTTGGCCATGTCTGCTTTCCGGCCGGCCGTCCATGTGGTGACGTGGGCACGGACAGGTACGAATAGCTTGGAGCCCTTGGACACGTTATGGCGAGACGCGGGGAATCGGCGACGCGCGCGTGATGATGATGAGTGGTGATGGAGCTAGAACAATGCACACGCACAGCTAGTGCCCGGTCACTGAAAGTGAAAGGTCCAAGAAAAGGACACTAGAGATTAGCACCTCACACTATGTACAGATAGACATCGAGTCAGCTTGTTACAGTGACATCTAATGGTTTATTTCCTCTTCTTTCTCTTATATATTCTCCGCATATCTTAAGAGTAAACTTTGAGATAAACAGAGAATATAAGGTACTTTCTCTGTAATATAACGCATAATTATTATTAGCAACTACTCCCTCTGTTCCAGAATAAACACACGTTTACAGTTCAAAATTTGTGTTCCAAAATCGTTGTTAAAATAGGATTTGTACTAGTAGCTTGCAGCTATAACCCTATGGTTGTGGACCACCTTGGAATCATCAACGAAATAAAAAGATAGAAAAAGTGACTAGAGCGCTTATCTTCCGCAGCGCTCATTCAGGCTTTCAGCGCTTGTCCTCACTTCCCCATTCACAACGCATGTGCACATGTTAGATAAACATAGCTTCAGGCTAACGTTTCATAGGGGCAATTTTGCCGTTTTACCTATCTTCTTGGTTACCACACCAAATCCTAGAATGCCAACTTATTTTAGGATAAAGGGGGTACGTGCATGAGTTGAAGTCTCCAGCAATTAATTCACTTGAATCCTTTTGAAATTAAAGACAAAATTTAAATATTTTGATACCATATATATTTTAGGACGATATGACTACATAGTGACACAGGCAATTCATTTTTCTCTTCTCGATATTTCTTCTTAGTTAGAAGATAAAACAAAAAAAAAGATTATCTTGCTTTTCCAATCTGATCGTACCATTTGGTTTCATACGCGTGATGCGCTACTTGTCGGAGCAACCTTCAAAAGATAAATTCCATTTTACTACAATGATGTAACGCCAAAATAGAGAGAGAGAGAGAGAAAAGCCGCCCCTGTAGCCCAACTGCATTAAAAAAATTTCTTCGTCCCTGACATATACTCTATCCGTTCCAAATTATAAGTCATTTTGACTTTTTGACATATTATTTATCTAGATGCATAGCAAAATAGATGTACCAGAAAAGTGAAAGTGACTTATAATTTAGAACGGAGGAAATATAATATACTACTAGCCTGACTTTGTTCCTAGTCCAATCAAATGATTGTTAATTTATTTTCGGATCATTGTTTACATTTTTCATAGTAAAATAATGCATTTTGGCGTATACACAATAGATTGTTTCTATTATCACAAAAAGAAATGCATGACTCAACCCAAAGGACCTATATATATCGGGTTTCATCATTGCACAACTTGGGAAGCTGGAGATGTATATAGGCTACCAAGTGGAGGATTATCCACATTTGGCATGCCCAACGCCCCAACCTAGTGGCTTCACTAGTGCTTTGGTCATGACTGATCGATGCCTAGATAAAAGTTATATGATCCAGCTCCACACATGCCAGAGAGACATACAAAAGAGTTACATATTACATAAAAAATTTGGTAAGAGCTTGTGCTCTGTACATACTTGGCTTTAAGATGCCATCTTATATGTAGATTTTATTCAAGGTCATGTATATTCTAGGCATGCATAACTATAAAAGGTGGAGAGAATCGGAAAGTTGTGTGGAACGCTTGCCGAGCTGAGTTTTGGATATTACGACAACATATAGAGGATTTGCTAGATAAGAATGGAGGTTTACACATACGTTATATTATAGTGATGTTGGGTCTCTATTTTACACTTTAATTTGTTTAGTGAATAATGAGCTTGCTAATAAAGGAACGGCTAAAGCATTTTATGATGTAAAGGCTCAGATACTTCTATCTCATTATTGAAAAAATAATGTGTCTTTCATGTTAGTGCACAGTGGCTTCCGTGTCATATATATATTTATTTATTTAAGACAGTCATATCATTGTTGATAGGTCCAATTTTTCCCCCATATAGAGAGCATGGGTTGATGAGGCAGCTTGTTTATTAGCATCAGCATATCCGATGGAATCATCATATAAACCAGCCAAAAACGAGTCGATCGACCGTACGTGTGGCGCGAAGATAACAAAATGATGTGATCCGTGTCAGATGATGGATGAACTTGCCCTGTTTTTCTGCATCTGTACATGCCTGCCTGCCTCTCTCTGGTCTCTGCCTCGGCATCAAACATCGTCGTGTGAATACTCCCTCGGAATTTTTTCCAAACAAAATCCACTCTGTCCCCTTTTAAACGCCGCTACGATATTCGTACCGATAGGTTTATAGATAATATTAACAACATTTTTGTCTTAAAATAAGTTTTTTTATAAAAATAGATCTAGCAATCTGTCTAATGGTATTAATTATATACCATAAATATTTATATATATATTTTATATATTTGATCAAAGTTGAATACATTTGACTTTTTCGGAAGTGACAACAACAATTAACAAGAAATAGAGAAAGTGCATACTAGTAGAGCAGTAGACAAGGATGGACATATCTGTACTCAAGTGAATGAGGATAATGCATGCTAATGCTATATACTCATCGAAAAATAAAAAAGAAAAAAATTTGATTGTGCGCGCATAAAGAGGTACTCGAGAAGGCAGTGTACTCCAGTAGCCGTGGTAACATGGTACTACCCTCTCGCCTAAAAAAAACAACAGTATCAACACTTATATATATCCTTCAAATAGGTTTGCAACAAAAATACATTTTATGATCAATTTAATTACATATATTCGATATTATAAATGTTAGTACTTTTATTTTATATAGATTTGATAAAATTTAAAATTAATTGATTCCTTGATGTATGGGCTAGCTAGTTTTTAATTTAAAAAACATTGTCTATCTTTGTGTTTTGAATATAAGTTTCGTGTATGCATGCATATGGAATGCGCATGTTTCAAAAGCACGATTAAGTGGGTATTACATAATAAAGTGTGATGGGCTACAAAATTATTGCATTCTGACAGGTTACCTAGTTTTGTTTGCATTTGAAGACGACGACAACACAAGATGAGGAGACGAGCATGCACCTTGGTAAGCCACATGACAACTTGTGTCTATATTCTTGGTTCACTAATCACCATGCGCACGGGTTAAATGATTTTTCACTTTTGAATGTTTTTTTCCCCTATTAGTCTGGCTTGGTTCAATAATTTCGACTTGATCTTCCAGGTCCAATTGAAAGAGGAACACCGATTATGTCATCACTGGGTTTCTCTCACTTTCCCCTCATATGTAGTTCTATTGATTATCTTCTTTTTTTCCCATAATACATATATATCTTTTCATATCTCTCTAGTTTTATTTGAGTGTCACGCCAATCATACTACGTGTTTTGCTGACGAATGCATAAATAAATTGTCTAGCTTTTCTGTCAGCTTTAATTTTGAGCTCATCAGCTCCGTTCATCCCAAAGCAATTGCACATCTCACTTTTTGAAGAGTCGTTTTTTAAATTTGACTAATAAACTTATAAAAATATCAACATTTGTATCTTCTAATATGTTTACCATGAAAAATATATTTCATCAATGATCTAATGATACTTACTATACGTACTGATCTCTCTGTTCTAGATTATAAGACTTTCTGATTTTTTTTGGATACATAGCTTTCGCTACGTATCTAGATATCCATTATGTCTACATACATAGTATATAAAAGACAAAACATCTTATAATTTAAAATTGACAGAGTATTATTATAAATATTAGTATAATTTTTAAGTATTCATTTTATAAAAATTAAAAAAAACTAGGAAAACAAAATGGGTAGTCATAATATGTTTTGGTTTTTTAGATGTCTATATACTAGGTTTTGCTATGCAGCTATATACATAATTTGAAACGGAGGAGGTGCTGTAGTAGTACAGTGGTAGAAGGTGTACTGGATGACGATGTATAGTGCATGTGACCGGAAACATGCATTAATAAGAGGTATCCAGAAGGCACTGTACATGATGTACAGATGCAGTACTCCAGTAGCGGTGGTAAGTACTGAATGATTTAGCTAGCTAGGAGACAAGGAGCATCGTCGTCCGTGTTTGTGTGTCGGCTGTCGCTCTATAAAATGGAGGCTAGCCGCAGAGCAGAGCAGGAGCAGGAGCAGGGCAGCCACCACCAGTAAACCTCACTCAACTCAACACAAGCACAAGCTAAAGCTAGCTAGCTGATCGTGCAGTGCGATCGAATGGTTTGCGATGCATATGTGTTTGTGAAGTGCGAGGAGCATGGAGAGGAGTTCGTGGACATGCTGGACGGCGTCTTCTCCTGTACACCCGCCATGGCGACCGCGCAAGCAGCTTCATGGCTGCCCGCGACGCCATCGGCGTGACGCCCCTCTACATCGGATGGGGAATCGATGGTAGTAACTGTCTCTCTGCCTGTAACAAACAAACTATGCACATCTGTGATGTGTCTCACTGAAACTGAACCATACATAAATCATCTGGCATGGCTGGCAGGGTCGGTGTGGATTTCGTCAGAGATGGAGGCCCTGAACGACGAGTGCGAGCACTTTGAGATCTTCCCTCCGGGGCATCTCTACTCCAGCAAAACTGGAGGATTCAGCAGGTGGTACAGCCCACCATGGTACGACGAGGCCATCATCCCCTCCGTTCCATACAACCCGCTGGCGCTCAGGAAGGCCTTGGAAAAGGTGAACAAGAGGACTTTCAATCTGTGCTTGGACCAGCAAACTGAACTGACAGATATCAGATTTTGCTCAAAAACACCTCTACACAACTATCTCTGAAAACTGAGAATGTTATGTTACATACTACCTACTGCTGTTTGCCACTTCAGAGTTCAGATGCCTTAAAAAAAGAGACAAGACATCGAATCTTCACTATATATATATAACTAAACGATAGGTTACCTGAGATGAACAAAGCAGGGGAATTTGTAAGTACGGACAGATCAAAGTAACCAAACTGTTTATTGGTTCAGGCTGGGGTAGGTAAAGCAGCTGATGACAGACGTCCCCTTCGGCATCCTGCTCTCCGGGGGCTGGACTCCTCGCTGGTGGCGGCCGTCGCCGTGCGCCACCTCGCCGGGACAGAGGCCGCCAAGCGCTGGGGCACCAAGCTCCACTCCTTTTGCGTGGGCCTCGAGGGGTCCCCTGACCTGAAGGCGGCCAGGGAGGTTGCAGACTACCTGGGCACCCTGCACCATGAGTTCCACTTCACTGCTCAGGTACCAACCGTGACCGAATGCCCAGGCCATTTCTTTTCTAGGAGCTAATGCTGACTGAATAAAAATGTTAATTTGCTGCATCAGGACGGCATTGATGCAATTGAAGACGTGATCTACCACACGGAGACGTACGACGTGGCGACGATCAGGGCGAGCACGCCCATGTTCCTCATGTCGCGCAAGATCAAGTCGCTCGGGGTGAAGATGGTCATCTCCGGCGAGGGCTCCGACGAGCTCTTTGGAGGCTACCTCTACTTCCACAAGGCACCCGACAAGGAGGAGTTCCACCGCGAGACCTGCAGGAAGGTCAGTGTGTGCCAGTGTCACTGCAATTTTTCGAATATCAGAGAAAACAGAAGAGAGCAGCCTGACTGACTGATTAACTGACTGACATGCATGATGATTCTTGCTCTGCAGGTTAAGGCTCTGCATCAGTATGACTGCCTGAGAGCCAACAAGGCGACATCGGCTTGGGGCCTCGAGGCTCGCGTCCCCTTCTTGGACAAGGAGTTCATCAATCAGGCCATGAGCATCGATCCTGAGTGGAAGATGGTACTGACTGAAACTACTTGAGAACCAAGAGTTCATTACTTTCAAACAAAGCAACATATATGACCATTACTAATACTAATTTATGAGGGTTGCAGGTCCGGCCTGATCTTGGAAGCATTGAGAAGTGGGTGCTGAGGAAGGCATTCGACGATGAGGAGCAGCCATTCCTGCCCAAGGTGGTGGTGGTTAACCTGCGTTCAGAACTTCAGACTGAATTTTTCGTAGTAAATATTTGGACATTCAGACATCTGAATTTTGTGTGCCATGCACGCACTTGCTTTGCAGCATATCCTGTACAGACAGAAGGAGCAGTTCAGTGACGGCGTTGGGTACAGCTGGATCGATGGCCTCAAGGCTCATGCAGCATCAAATGTAAAATATTGCCATGTCAATTTCGATTTCCACACATATGTATACAAGGATAGTTCTATTTCATGAATCATGATCCATACATATATGCACGCAGGTGACTGACAAAATGTTGTCGAATGCAAAGTTCATCTTCCCACACAACACCCGACCACAAAGGAGGCCTACTATTACAGGATGATCTTCGAGAGGTTCTTCCCACAGGTGAGCTAACATTCTTCAGTCAGACGTACGCCATCAACATGTAATGCTGCCAATGCATGAAATGGAACAAACACACATAGTGACATAAACTAATTACTTGACCATGACGATCTCTGCAGAAATCTGCTATCCTGACGGTGCCTGGCGGGCCAAGCGTGGCGTGCAGCACCGCCAAGGCCATCGAGTGGGACGCGCAGTGGTCAGCAAACCTTGACCCCTCCGGGAGGGCGGCGCTGGGCGTCCATCTTGCTGCCTATGATCACGAACACGAACATGAACAAGATCCGAAGCATGTCCCGGACACCATCGCAGCAGGAGGCAGCAAGAAGCCGAGGACCATCGGCTGGGTGGCAGCAGCGGCGGCGCCGCCTGGCGTTGCCATCGAGGGATAGATAGCTTGCATGCATGGCAATGGCATGCTGTCGCTTCTCCGGCCGGCTTCCTCATCCGGCGCTGCCACTATCATTATCATTATCACTGCTTGCAACAAATAATCAAGCGAGCGAGCTGTCATGTTTAATTTTAAATATATTTCATATATTTGTTGGGCGCCACATTGTACTCCTAATAATTATTAGTCATGTTTTTAATTATAAATTATCAGATTTTCGTATCGAGGAACAAGCGCTTATTAGTTTGGGCATAATATAGGATGGGATGTGCTGGTTGAGCCACCCATGGAACATGGGCCCCTGTGTTGGATGCTCTCTTGAATCAGGCTGATGTGCAGATGGAGGATGTTAATCAGGGTCAACAATTGTGCTTCTGTGGAGCTTTTAGAGCCGTCAGTTGACCCAGTGTTTGCTTCATTGCCACTAGTGGGCTGGGCTTGGAGTTTTTTTTCTTGATCCCTCAGCAAAGCAAGGGCATTTCTTGTCCATAACCTTCTAGTTCTTCTGACTTTATCTTTGGTTGTGGCTTGTCACGGGCCACTCCTTCAGATTTGATTCATCGCTTATCCCCTCCAGAGCTGCATTTAGATGCCCAATAGCATCCTCCCACAGTTGGGAGTGTGGCCCTCCAAAGCGGTGTGGACTTTGGACCTGTTCGCTTGTCTTATGAGCCGTACTGTTTCAGCGAAGGAACAATGTTTTTCTCTCCCAATAAATCAACGAAAAATATTTTTCTCTCCCAATAAATTAACGAACAGTACTTACTTCTTAGCGAAGCGAACAGGGCCTTTGGCTCGCATCCGTTCGATGGTGGCTTGCTCACAGCTGTGGGGCCTCACCGTTGTATCCTGATATAATAGATTTCTTCTAGGCCTCTTGTAACGATAATAACTTGTGGTATGATCCATTCCGTTCTGGATTGGGGTGGGACTTGATGGTTGGGGAAGGCCTCTGTCCTTCTCGTCCAATATCCCCGCCTCTTGGTTAAATCCCCACGCTGGACCATGCGATTGCCATGCATATCGTTGACTCGTTGTGCTTGTACTCCATCCGTTCATAAAAATAATACAATTTTCGTTTTCTAAGGAGTCAAACTATTTTAACTTTGACTAAACTTATATAAAAAAGTACTAACATTCACGATACAAAATAAGTATCGTTATATTAGTTATAGAAATATATATTTTTATGATAAATCTATTTAGAGACATAAATGCGAATATTATTTACTATAAATATGGTCAAATTTAAGCTAGTTTGGCCCATACGGTTCCTATGATTATATTCTTTTGTGGACGGAAGAAGTATGATAAAAGAACCTGAATTGTTTGATGGCACAACACATGTCACCATAGCTAGTGCCAGGAGAAAAGTCGGAGCTTATTACAGCTTAAGCCATGAGGAACAGAATCGTAAACACATCGAAGGCTTTAAGATGTTGTAGCTATTCCTAAGCTAAGAAGACAGTTAATTAGACGCTTAGCTCCTGCTAGAACCCGACCAAACAAATGCTCCATCAAAACATATTTTATAGAAAAATAAATAATATCAATTTGATCTTGTTGCAATTTTTCTACAAAATCTTATCAAATGTTGGGTCGCCACATATACATGTTTTGACTCTGCTTGTATACGTCACGCTGATGCTGTCACGGGACTCATGGATGCCCTAGTCCATGGTGTAAGCAATGTTCATAAGCTCCTTTGCATGCTTCTCCCAGAGTGCGACGAACACGTCCACCCCACCCACTTTCCGCAGGCTGGGTATCAGCACCACCGCCCCGTCCAGCGGGACCTTCGCCGGCAGGATCCCGGCGAGCCGTCCGCCGCACCCAAAGTCCAGGCGGTGCAGGTCCAGGTGCAGCCAGCTGTCGGAGTCCACGTCCGGCAGCAGGACGTTGTCGTCGTCCCCGAACGTGGGCTCCAGCTCCTCGCCGCCGTGCAGCTCCCCGAAGTCGATGAACGACTGGAAGTACTGTCGGTCGCGCGCGCGCACGCCCGCGCGGACCAGCGCCGCCGCGTCGGCGAGGGTGCCCCGGGCCAGGTCCCGGGCGCTGGTGGTCGCGCTCGCCGTGAGGACCACGTTGCCGAAGAAGCCCCGCGCCACGGCGTCGGCTCCGAGGCGCGCGCGGCCGTCCACCGAGGCGTAGAGCGCCGTGCGCGACGCGTCGTCGGCGCGGCCGCGCGCCAGCGTGATCTTCCGCCACAGGTGCGCGGACACGGTCTCGAAGGTCGTGTACCGGTTCTCCGGCGCGGTGACCGCTTTGAGCCCCTCCACGAACTCGCTCGGGAGGTGCAGCAGCACGTTGGCGATCTCGGAAGGGTCCACGCGGTGCGGCGCCGGCCTGCTGGCGGCGGCGTCCTCTTGGCGCAGGAACTCGGTGCCGCGGTGCTCGAACTCGCACCGCGGAGGGTGGCGCGGCACGATGGCGCCCGGGCCGTACGGCGCCGGTGGTAGCAGACCGCCGTCGTCGAGTGGTGGCTTAGCGCCGTTGTTCTTGGCGCGGACGGCGTCGGCCCACGCGTGGAAGAATGTGGACATGGAGTAGCCGTCGGCGGCCTGGTGGTGCGCGGACGAAGCGATGACGAGGCCCCCGCACGCGAAGCGGTTGATCTGGAGCATGAGCAGGTGCGGCGGCAGCGGCGCGGCGCCATCGCCGCCACCACCGACTGGCACGTGCAGGCTCGCGAGCTCCGTCGTCGCGGGCGCGAGCGGGAGGTGGTCCGAGAGCTGGGACGGCACCGTGGCCTCGACCACGAGCGCGCCCGCGCCGCCCCTCCCCGTGACGAAGAACGGGCGGCGGCGTGGCTCGTCGTCGACGAGGCGCGCAGTGAGGAGCGGGAACCGCGGGAGCGTGGCGGCTAGCGCGTCGAGGAGGGCCACGTTGGTGGGGTTGGGCGCGGCGTAGGCGTACAGCACGGTGACGTGGTAGGTGGGAGCGACGAGGTCGAACACCGTGAGCGGCACCTCCGTCGACGGCTCCGACGGCGGCGCGGGTATCACGAAGCTCCGCTGCACCTGCACGTCCATGCTAGCTAGCTCTCGAGAGTGAACTACTAGCTAGCACTTGTGACATGTGAGTATACTGAAGCGGCTTTAATTTGTGAATATGCAGCTAGGCAATGGCAGTCTGTCTATCTATATATCTGTCTACCGATCGATCTATGGATCGACCGACCGATCTATCTATCTATCTATCTATCTATCTATCTATCTATCTATCTCTACTGAACAACCTGCATGTTCCAATGCACACTTGACACTTGCAAACTGGCCGGTCAGTTTTGGAGCGAGTGGGCGCGGTTCATCTCAATGGATCAGTGGTGCTGTGCTCGGTGGTGAACATGATGCTCGATGCCGGCATGTGCACGTGCAATAGGCCTCGCGCTCATGGTCGGCGGCACCATGGACGGTCTACTAGCTAGCTCTCGAGAGTGAATGACTTGTAAGTATAGTTTAGCGGCTTTAATTTGTGATCGATCGATCGACTTGCATTGTGAGAATGCAACAGCTAGCTGGAGACGATGGAGACGGTGGTGGTGCCGGCAGCAGTTGTATGTAGCATTGCAGCTAGGGAACGACAGTCTATCTATCTGTCTGTCTATCTATCTATCTATCTATCTATCTATCTATCTATCTATATCTATGATAATAATACGATAAGGACGTCCGTCCCGTGACCCCGTCCGGACGCGCTCTCGAAAAAAAAAAAAAAAAAAAGATCCCTGTCAGCGCTAGCTGCAGCTGCCTTCATCCGTCGCTCGCTCAAGCCCCATCCCGCCCGTGACGTTGCTGCTGCCTTCAACCGTCAATCGCTCAAGCCCCATCCCGCACGCGATGCTTGGCTCCCCCCATCTCGCGCCGTGCTCTATCTTGTGCTGTGCCACGTGCCCCATCTCCTCTCTCACCCCCACCTCCACCCCACCACACAGGCACGACCGCGTCCGTCCCCACGCTATCGTTGGTCGGCCAGTCGGCTCCGATGGATTCGTGCTGTCAGTGGTGGTGAGGGTGCGGCAACAGCGCACGGCGTGTGGGGGCGGCCTAGGAGATGGCGCTCCTCGCGGGGCCCCTCTAGGCGGCGGCCCTCTTTGGCCTCCTGCTCGGCTGGGCCTCCTCAGCCTCCTCCTTCTCCGTCGTTGCCACTTCAATCCCACCAAATAGGCCGTGGCCGCGCGGCGAACACTATGTTTAAAGGGTTTCAGACGTTTCAAAGTTATGTTTCAAATGTTGTATCTGGATGTTGCGAAAGTAGATCTGAGATGTTGCATATGTTTCAATGACAATATACGCATGTTGCAAGCCTTTGTTTCAAGTGTTTCATGTGTTTTAGACATATGTTGCAAACGCTTCATCTGGATGTTTCAAAAGTAGATCTTGGTGGTGCACATATTGCAATGGCTATACACGCATGTTTTAAGCGTATGTTTCATGTGTTTCATCTGCATTCAGACGTATGTTGCAAATATTTTATCTAGATGTTTTAAAAGTAGATATGGTGTTGCACATGTTTTTTTTACTCTGGTGTTGTACATGTCGCAATGGCGTTACAATGGCTTTCCTCGCATGACGCGCCTCACCCTCCTCTCCCTTCCCTCCCCCCTTCCCTTCCCTCCATCTCCTTGTCGCAGCAGTTCAAGCTGGGCGGGGAAACCATACCCGACTAGCGAGCAGTCGCCCACGGAGGTGGGTGGCCTCGGGTGAGCCCGACGGCGGCGCAATGCCTGCGTGGTGGCCCTGCAACAAGTTGAGGTCTGCACCATCCGCTCACTACGTGTGGAAACAGAGCAACGTCCGGCGGGCGTCCGTTCGGACGTCCAGACGCTAGTCCTACCAATCTTTCTATCTATCTATGTATCTATCTCACTGTCTCTCTACTGAACAATCTGCATGTTCCAATGCACACTTGCAATCCGGCCGGTCTGGTTTGGAGCGAGTGTGTGCGGCAAGTGGTGCGGTGCTCGGTGGTGAACGTGATGCTCGATGGCGGCATGCGCCG